ATGTGGGTAGTCTTATTATGCCTTAAATAGCGTCAAAGAAAGTGCATGTTTGTGATAAAAAAAAACTTATTCCTTTATTCATGCAAACAATCGCTTCAAAAACTCGGTTATTAGCCCCAAAATATACCATTTATATTATTGGGCCCGTGCATAGCACGGGCAACATTATCTAGTATATATAATATATACAAGAGTGTTTGTATTATAAATTATATATATATAAACAATATTTGCTACTTCCTATGAAGTATAAATATAATGAGTTATATTTTATAGAATAAAGAGAATAAAGATTGATATATATTTTGTCCGGTATTGAAATCCGACTATTTCGGATTTGCACATAGACCCCGTTCGAAGGGAAGCGCTCCTATCAACGATTTTTCATATTCAAAGTTCGAACTCAAAACCTTTAGTTAAGAAAGAAATAATCTCATATGTGCCACATCCTTTGGCGGTTTAAAGATTGCTATCACGAGATAATCAAATTGTTCGAAAAACTCCAAAACCTAGCCCCTGGTTGCTATCGCTAAGTTAATTAATTCACGCTTTCACACAATAATATTTCTATGTGTTGTTTACTCTATTTCAACTTATGTGTTTTGTTTTTTATAAAAGAATAAAATTGAAAAGATTATTTATTTCATGTTTATTATTTTTAAATTTTAAAAATTTATGTGGTATGTTTAAATTTATAAGATTTATGCGTATTTTAATATATTACATAAATTTTTAATTTAGGATCAAAAAAGTCAAAAGTCTTCTATAATTTTTAAGGAGTCAATTCCCTAAATGATCATTCAAGTTTAGGGAATTGTCTTGAAATATCATTTATGTTTCATTTAGGACCAAAATATCACTCAACTACCACTATTTTCCTCCAAATATACTTGACACTCCAAAAGCCTCACTCTCTCCTAGTTGGCATGACATGTCATTAAAATCTTTTTTTTAATAATAGACTAATTCAATTCACTAAACCCATTTAACTAAAATAATGATCATATTAAATTTTCATACTTAAAAAATCTTTTATCATATATATTTTTTTTTTACTTTTTTATGCGATGAAGAATAGTTTTTTAAAACTTACCATAATATCATCAATTTTGAATAATTATAAACACATATATTCAAAAAAAAATTGAGATATAAATCACTTATGAATGTCAACTTACATCAATTAATCATATATTATATTATGGATCAATAATATTAAAGGTCAATTAACTATTAAAAAATAATTAATTGGGTCCTTTGAAATCCACATATACTTACAATATCTTTTTTTTTTAAAAAGAAAATAGAAAGTGAATATTATTTATATTAGAAAATTAAATTTGATCTTTATATATCAGTATATTAATCTCATATAATATGTATATTATTGAATTAAAATAGGCAATTCAATTAATTATTACTTGTATTTCATAAATTTGGGATGAGATAAGAATATATATATATATATATTGGTGTTTAATTGTATGAGAAGTTAAAATATATAAAACAGAATAAAAGAATAAAAATTAAAATTAAAATTAAATAAAAAAAAAAAGTTAAATAATAATTTTCTCTTTCATACCAACTTTTTTGTCAACCTTACAAATTTATTTGAATACTTTTATGGAAAAAATTGCTTAAAATTTTCAAATAATTTACTTAGAAATTTTAAAAATTACCAGGTAATAATTGCACATAGAGGTTTTTTCATTGAAATTTGTTTGGTAAAAATATAAAAAGGAATTAGATTTTTTTATTTTTTTTATAATCTTCATAAATTCTCATGTAATTTATATATTTGTTTTGTAGAGTCATAAGTTTGATGAATTAAATAGGTCAATTGTTTTTTTTAAATGATGATTTAATGACATGACGTATCAACTAGAATAGAAGGAGACTTTTGAGGTATTTAGTATTGTTTTTTTGGATAAAAATATAATATTATTCACTACTGTAAGCATGAATTTCAAAATACATAATTAATATTGTTGTAATAGTTAATTGACCTTTAATATTATTGATTCAATACACAATTTATGACTAATTGATGTAAGTTAGCATTCATGACTGATTTGTATATTAATATTTTTTTGAATGTATGTGTTTATAAGTATTCAAAATTGGTGATATTATAGTACGTTTTAAAAACCTATTCTTCATAACATAAAAAAATAAAAAATTTAATTATGATAAAAGATTCCTAAGTATGAAAATTTATTCTTAATAAACTAATATATCTTCTTTTTTAAATATGATCATTATTTTAGTTAAATGAGTTTAATGAATTAAATTAGTCTATTATTAAAAAAAAGATTTTAATGACATGTCATGCTAACTAGGAGAGAGTAGGGCTTTTGGAGTGTCAAGTATATTTGGAGGAAAATAATGGTAGTTGAGTGATATTTTGGTCCTAAATGAAACATAAATGATATTTTAAGGCAATTCTCTAAACTTGGGTGACAATTTAGGGAATTGACTCAATTTTTAAGTATAAAGCTATGACTCATTGAAATTAAGATGCATAAAATAAAATGGAGAAAATAACTTCAGCAGCATTATAATAAAGTTATCTTGTATATTCCTTTCATCCTATTTATTTGTCATGATTTTAAAAATAAATTATTAATTATTTTAGAAAATAAGACAACTAATTCACTTTTTCTTATCTTATCCTTTAATAGTAATTATTTTTGAAGATTACTTTAAAATGACATATAAATAGAGTAAATATTTAATGAAGAGACATTATATCTTAAGACATAAATCAAAATTTCTCTTGATTAAGATTTTTCCTAGAGACATAAAAAAAATTAGAGACGGTAAGGGGTCATTTGGTTGGGAACAATTTTTTTCAGAATAATTAATTTTAAAATAAGTTATTCCAACATATATATGGAATAATTTATTTCATTATTATTCAAAAATAGTGAAATAAATAATTTAAGAACTATCTAATACCTTTGACCAAACGTCAAATAATATATATTCTACCACAAAAAAAAACAAAAAACATGCTTCTCACGAGTTTGTACAATCCCTTTATACGTTACTTTCTCAAAACCAGAGAGTTTGTCGAACTTTCATGCTTTTCTTCCAACATACACGTGCCTGCGTTACATCAGGATTCAGGATTTTCTTTTTTGGACTTGTCCTTCAAAATGAGAAAATGTGCTTCATTTTAATTTGCTACTACATTATAATACCAATAATGGGAGACAGGGCCGTCTTAACCCTAGGCCACTAAAGCCATTGCTTGGGCCCTCATATATTTTGGGGGCCCCATTTTTTAAAAACAATTACTTATATATGTTATTTTAAAAAAAAATTATATGTACTATGAGTGTTATGGTTTTTACTAAGAAAATTGCATATGAGATGAAAATAAACCTGAATTTCATAAGAAACAATTTGATGAAAATATGGATAGTGAAATTACAAAGTCCCTTGAAGAATCTTTTAGAGTTAATTGCTTTATATATGTAAAGTAGATAAAACTATTTTTTCACTTCAAAATAGATTTGAACCAATTGAAGCATATGAAAATATTTTTGATTTCTTATTTAGTGGTAAAATATTGAGATCACTAGATGATGAAAATTTTAAAAATATTGTCTTAACCTTGAACTTTCTTTAAC